GGATGTATGAAAAAAAACTGATCTCCATGGTAATTCCTTTGCAACTAAGCGTGATAGATGGCACACCGATATTATTTAGCTGCTGCTTAATATAGACTGCATCTATGTTTAACACTTACAGGAAGAAATCTTTTCTCCAAAGAGAAATGTTAAAGTATTGTTCAGTTCCGTGACCTGTGTATATTAGAAACTCAGGTGAGCCACAATCATTTAATGTACTACTAATGGAAAAAAATTGCCTCATTTTCCAGGAATTATTGAGTCCAGGACATTTCTTCACAGCTTCTACCAATCTAGAATTTGGCCTCTAAAAATAAGGACAAGGTAGGTTTAGTTCGTATTTGAAGATATGTTCTAATTTCATGATAAGCCTAATTACTTTCAGTTTTTGAAATAATCCACAAATCAAAGATATCTTTCAAAATGCACAGTTTTCCTAAGTAATGTAATTCACTAGAAAAAAGCAATATATATATTGGAGTAAGGGCTGCACAAAAATATTTTACAGTGTACAAAATATATTACAGTTGGGAAAATTAGGTTAGGCAGTCCTGCATACACAATGTGTACATTTGAAGGAACATGTGTAAAAATATGGATGGATTTGGATACAGACTGCTAGGAAGCCAAGTTGTGTGATTGACCAAATTTATAACTGGGAAAATGGGAAACTGAAGTTGATACTGTAGGAGGAGAGCTGTGTTACTCTATGGTAGCAAAAAATCAGGTGGTGTCTGGGAGCATCTTTTCTGACTAACAAATTTTATTAAAAGGAATAAGAGTTCATGAAAGCTTCAGAATATGTACTAAGACTTCTTCTGAAACTGACAGAATTGCAACCATGAAAAACTAAGAGGAAAGTTAAGCCAGTAGATGGATCTTTAACATGAACCATTCATTGCTACTCCTGAGCATGTTTAGATATATAAAATGTAGAGTTTTTTATGCAGATTGAGGGCACCTCTATACATCCGGTGATATGTTTCTGGTGGAGAAGACGCATCCGTGCATTTCTCACCCTCCATGAGAGGAAAAGGCCGAGCTGAACCAAGCTACAGCACCAGATGTCTTACAGATTGTACTCAGTTGGCCAACTGTCTTTGCTTAATCTCTCTGACTGTTGGGACTCTTACAAATACCACAAAATACAGTTTTCCCCACCTCCTACAGTATCTACACCAGATGGGGTGTGAGTGGGGGAAGAAAACTATCTTTCCTACATTTAGCATCAACAGACTCCCTGTCCTTCCAGCACAGTTGTTCAGGATCCATTCAGGCAGAGTCAAAACAATCTTATTTCCTTACAACTAAATAAAGATTTGATGTCACCAAATCCAAGATATGTTTCTTTTGAGGTAGGAAAGAAAGAAAAAGGAGCCACATAAGACAGACAGGGCTCCTGTGATGTTATTTAACACTGTTTTTAAGTCCTGGAGTTATATGTGTGCTGTCATGTATTCCTATTAGCTTTTTCTTAAAATTCTTTTTTAAGAATGGGGTGTGGGTGAGGAATTACTAAACACTTTAAATGCACACATAAATTACACTCTTTGGCACGCATTCAGCTATCTAACAGACTTTCCTGCTACCCCGATTGTCCTTCAAAATCAGTTAAACAGGTAGGCAAATAATAACATTGAAAGCAAGCAGAGATGTGCTCAGTGCCTAGTGTTGTAAAATGTAACATGAGATCTCCATACATCATGCCAAACCCAAACCCGTTCAAGCCACATTATCACTTAGCGGTGGTGCCCCACACTCACTTGTTCACTGAGTTCATAGATCTAAGCCAAAACAGGGTTTTAAATGGTATGGATATCCAGCCAATTGCGTTAGTTATCCTAGGATGTAGGAGAGATCTAAGGTTTGCAGACCAGCCCTTTAACAAATGTGTATGTTAATTTGAAAAAAAAAACAATCTAGACAGAACAAAAATGGGAAAGCAACAAGAAAAAAAATTAGGACATTGGAAATCCCTAGGATTAATGATTCTTAGGAGAAGTTGACTGGCAATATCACTTATCCCCTAGGGCCCTCCAAGGGAGGGGTAAAAAAAAGTCAAGGTGGCTGGTTCAATAATCTGGGTCAGGAAAACAATCTGGTACAATAAAACTGGTTCCCTAATCAGGCAGCAGCTGATAGCAAGAGACAGAAGAAAATGCAGCAGGAAAAAAAAGGGGGGGGGGAGAGCAGAATAGACAGAGCATGGGTGGCTGGCCCCAAAAACATCTTGTGTGCAATCTTTGGGGAGGTTCCATTGATTAATTCCTCCCCACTCCATTTAATTGTGCTGGCACAGAGGAAAGACAGACAACGGGGTGGATGTTAGTTCTTGCTTCTAACATAAAAAGTGTTTCAATTCCTTTGCCTAACAACAGAAGCTATTAGCTGTAAGCAGCTCAAGGATTGAATAGAGCCTGGTGCTCCTGGAGAAGGAGACTTACTGGATCGGCACTGATATTTTGTTAAGTTCATTATCTGCTGGTAGAAAACAATTCCCTTTAAGGACCAAAGAGGGACTCTTTTCAAGGCCCATCTTCATCAGCTTCAGTGAGCCCACTTTCCCCTCGCCTCACATTTTTTCTGTCTGAGATCCAACGGTGTAGTTCATACCACCATCCCCTTCGTCAAGGACATCTCGTGCTAGCCAGGTTCTGTTCTTTAACCAGAAATAGAAAAGGAACCTCTGCACCCCTCTCTTTTTCACCTGCTCTGGTTTTGTTCCAGCCAGGTTAGCATCTAGGCTCCCTGCCATGGTCTTTGACACTGAGACAGGCAATTCTATATTTTTCTGCCTGGCCCTACTTCTTTTTCAGCTGATCAAAAGTCTTGTGTTCTTCCACTGTCTAAAAACTCACTGGAAGAATATTGCACAAATATTCATGCCTGTTTCCTCCTTGCTTCTCCTGACACCCTCATTTTTATACAGACCTTCACTTATCTATTGTGCACGAGCACTTATCTATATATATATCTATATATATAACCTATGCTGTATGCATTTTTGTGTCAACTGCATATGTTTGCTATTAAAGGGAAACGCGTGCAACTCACTGTTTGCAAATTAATCGCAGTAATAAGTCATAATATAACCGGACTCCCAATTGCAAAGGAAATGCTTTTGAAACAATGTGCACTTCTCGATTTTAGGTAAGGCATTCAGGCTAGAAATTTCAGACATCCTTACATGTCTCCAGTAAAAAAACGATTACTTGTGATATGAATAAGATTCAATTGTCTTGTTATCATAGTGTATTTAAAAATAATTGCAACACATGATTTTACAGTGTTAAAAGAATTGTCAGGATTTTGATTCTTGCAGTGAACTACATTTCAGTAGGCTTTGTTTCATATTCTCTGCTAGATTTTTTTAAAGTGTTCGAAATCCTTTATCCAAGGCAAAACGTACATGAAAAAATACAAAACCCCAAATCAGAACATTATCTTTGCTGCTCAAATTCAAAAGTAATTTAGAACTAATAAATAATTAAGGATGGGGAAACAATTTGTTAGCCAACGTATACATGCCCTATCCCCCCAGCCTTCAAAATTACCAAATATAAATTATAATTCCATTCATGGTATGGTAACTGTGTAGCCAAGGGGGGGAAAGACCATGGCAATGCTGCAGATAAAAAAAATAAAGATAAATTCTCCAAAATGCCAACCAGCCAACCTTTGAGTAGCTGAACCTGTAAATGATCAAGGCTTTAAAATCTGGCAAAATCCAGAGCAGCCGCTCCAAGCTCCAGCCCATTCATCTTGAAAATTGCTTCATTTCATCCCATGCATGTTGTCCCACCTGCCTTCTGAAGAAATTGTGTCCTACTGTCAGAACAAATCATTTCAGATGTATTCCTGATATATCAGATGCTCCAAGAGCATTCTTCTTAATTCAGAAATTGGCATAATTAATGGAGAAGCAAAAGACAGTCTTGCTACACAGGCTTAGGTGCTGATAAAACCTTGGCAGAGCTGTCTTGCCGTTCTGGGGAAAATACCGTCATTTGGGTTCTCCGAGAAAGCTAAAGCAAACAAAATCAAATTATAAAGTGAACCGTCCTTCCGTTGCTTTCGTCGTTAACACAACTTTTTCCCGTCGGTGGTAGAAAAGGCAGAAAGACAAACATTTGTGTCCATGAAAGATCAGTTTGGCTTTGGAACAGCTGTGCTGAAAAAGTGCTCCCAAGCTTGGCTCACTCCTGCGATGTTCCCTAGGTTGTCCTCAAGCTTTTCAGGGAATAAAGAATTGGCTGCTATTTGGAATCTTCACATTGTGTAGGCCACCCAGTAGATGACGTTGACTGCCGCAAAGGCAGCTGGGAAAACTGCCCTTGCATAGATGTCGATGGTATCGGCATCAATAGGTTTGAAGAGAGACTTGAGGCCATTTTTCGGCTTGGATTCCACCCCCTGTTGCTTCTTGGTCTCCCCTGCTTCTACTTCAGCTGAGCCAAACAAGCCAGGCAGGTTGGGGGGGGCTCGGCGGTGCCTACTGGACACAGCGAGCTCCTGGTTGACTCCAGCTATCGAAAGGGAGAACATAACTATAGCGTTTTTCACATTGACCTGAAAGGGGAAAGAGAGCAGGTAGAATTGGGAAGATGATCAACAGGAGGTCCAGCCTCCCCCAGACTGGGTTCTTCCAGATGTTTTGGCCTACAAATTAGACCTGGAACACATGGAACAATATGGCTGCGTGAATAGTTTAGCAGAAAGTTACAGAAAGAGAAATAGAGGCTGAGTTCACACACTAGCTTATGCCGTGTGCATAAGCCGGAATGGCTGAGTTCATACACCCTCCCGAAACCAAGCTTTATTTTACCAATGACTTGCCCCACACAACACATACCACGTTAAGCCACATACCATGTTAAACAAACTACGGCATTCTTTTTAGCAACATTGTTTGGAAGAAGAAAACAGTCAGACTAGGAGGAATTAAACATCCTTTCTGGTCAGCTCTACAGATCTACAAGGAAATTCAGGCTGATCTTATTTCTGCCAAATTAAGCCACACCTTTTGCTGTAACACACCTTGGCTGGCTTCACACATCACCTGAAGTCATGCAGTGGTGTGTTGTGTGGACTTGGCCATTGGGGCTTGTCGGGCTGAGTTTAGGGTTTGTGCATGTTGTACAACTAGGCATTAGTCTAATGAACAGTCTGTACGGCTAACTGAGCGTGGTATGTGAACTCCATCAAAAGCTAGAGCATCTCTTTTAGCTGTGTGCCCCATTCAAGCTAACTGATGGATCTCGGCCAGGACCCACCAAAGATTGTACTGACCTCTTCTGCCTGTCTGTGGGTCTTCAGCTTGTCTTTTTGTTTCTTCATATAGTCAGCATTGAAATGGGCAAAGGCGTATTCCACCAGCGCAGCAAAGACAAAGACATAACAGATCCAGAAGTAGACATCCAAAGCTTTTATGGCCGAAGCCCTGGGAAGGGAAGAACGAGCGCTCACCATCAGGGTGGTCATGGTAAGGACTGTGGTTATGCCTGCAAGAAACAAGGAAAATGTTATTGCACACAAAAAATAATAACAACGTGCAGAAATTCTTTCCGCTTGGAGCAGTGAGAATAACCTTATTTATGTCAGTTCCTCAAAATGTGTAGAACTTCACATGGCCTGTGTGCTAATCTAGATGAACTAACAGCCTGACTTGCTGTAAGACATTTTGTCTGGGTTCAAACACCATGGTTTATTTAACCAATTTGCAGTTGGTTCATGATGTCTTTGCATGTGGTATAAACCCCCATCTTTGATCTACTGCTGACTAATGCTAGCCCAAGAACACAGAAGATTACTTAGTTGCTTTTCCACCCTTGGATTCTCAGGAGCTTAAGGTAGCTCACACATCACACTCACTCTCCTCACAACAAGCTGTGAGGCAGGTGGCCCTAAGGTACTCTATGAGCTTCATGGCTGAGTGAAGTTTCAACTCAAGCCTCCAGTGTCTAATCTTGCATTCTAATCCCTATGCCACGCCAGCTCCAAGGGGTTCACTCTGTTTTTGTAAAGATTGGGCAAGGTCCTCTTTTACCTAGAGAGACCCGGGCAGGCACAGCTGACTGGCTGATCCAGAAGGAAACCCATGACATGGCCACCAAGAGGATCGAAGGCACGTAGGACTGTATGATGTAGACACCTCGGTTCCGCCGCAGGTGGAAATGGAGACTCAGGCGGGGGAACTGGCCAGCTGCAGGATGGAGATTTTTTAAAAGAAAGTATCTTTTTTAGTTGACCTGGTTACCCTGTCCCCAGTATGGCTTCCATCATCCCCCTTCCCCACCCCTGCATTTTTTTCAGCCACTTACTTTGACCTCGCAACCTCTTCCCCGCCTGTGTGAAGGAGCAGAACGAGGCTTCTGAGCAGGTTTCATATTTCCTTGTGCTTTTTTAATTCCTCCACTTTTAAACAGAGAATTCATATGCCACACTAACTCATGGATTGTTTTAACCATGGTTTGTTAACATGCTCAGTTGGGTTTGCTAACACACCAACCCACAAACCGTGAATTACAAACCACAGTAGAACGATTCAGGTCACGCTAACCCATCATAGAGTTAAATTTCTGCTTACCACAGTGTGAAACCCCACTTTTATACTTTGTAAATCATTGCTTGCACCTTAGTGTATTATGTGAACTTAGCTAAATAAAGAACAATCCATGATTAAAACTTATTTATCACAATGAGTGAGCCCCAGCCCAAGATTTATCTTTTAAAATGCAAGCTTACCCCTCTGGGTGAATTGGGCCCTCATAGCTCAATTAACCCAGTTAGTTTCCTGTCTCCTTAAGAAAATATGTCACCGGTAACTATCCAACCATTAAACAGCCAATTGCTTCATTTACCAGATTTGAAGTTCATGAGTTCAGTAGCGAATCGATAATTGATGATGGTGAACTGAGCCAGCTGCAGCTTGTCCAAGCCGTGAATTTGCTCTTGATTCTCAGACCAGTGGTAGACAATGTCCTCGGAGGAGTAACCATCTATTTAAAAAAATCCTGAATAAATACAGGTGGATAAGGAGCAAGGTAAAGATCTGGGTTCACATAATAGGCTAAGCTGGCTTTGTTTTAAATAAACCATTGCAAGTAAAAGTAAAGTTTCTGTGATGGAATGGTTTGATGAAGGCCGTGCTCGGGGAGATAAGCATTTCCTTAGCCCCCAGCAGCAGCCTGGGAAGATTAAGAAGATGAGACTGGCACCACCCTAAGGAATTCACGGTGTTTTGGCTTGCTGGCTTGGGAAGTTTAGATTGAGTCGGGAGGGTCAGGTTCAGCCCAAAGAACTCCACGAGACAGTACAGATACAGTTCTGTTGCATTTATTAGCTTCCACCTCCAAGACAGAATCT